TATCAAAATTTATTCAAAAGAAAAATACTCACGAGCATTCATATAACTGTTACATATCATAGCAAACAGCTATTTGTCAAAATTTTATAATTGTGTATTAGTTGAATAGTAATGAAATAGCACAGAAAAATAGAGTATCGCTTTCTCTATCATTGCATAAAAAAGAAAGTTCCCTCAAGCCTTTTATACGAAATTCATATGCGACCGTAAGTACTTTTGGTATGCCCTAAGTAGAAAATTTTGCCAGTATATGAAAAGCGAAAATAGCTCAAGCGATTTATCAATTGGTTATAAATTTTCGGTTCAAATGAGATATGAAAATAACTGAAGCGGCTTATCTCATGAGATAAGTTGAGGTATCTCATTGTTATAAAATTTAGTTATAAGTGAAAAGCGAAATTAGATGTAATGACTTATCTCATACGTATAAAATTTAGTTATAAATTGAAATAAAAAGAAATAGATGTAATGAATTTTCTAATGAGATAAGTTGAGTCAACATGAGAGACATCCACTTGTGTCGTTAACATTTACTGTAAAATACTAGAATGTTTTTATTTAGTTGGATGATAGTAGCAGAATGTTGCAATATGATGCTTAAAGTAGTATTTAATGAAATCTTGATTTAATAAAGAAAACAGGGGAATGCAAATAATAAAGTTTGGAAAAATAAAAAGTAAATGATAAAATAATAAAGAATCCGCAAGAATATAAAAATAATAAAGAATTTATAAGAATATGAAAATAATAAAGTATCAAGAAGAATATATGTTTCATTTTGAGAGAAGATAAAATGCTCGTGAAATACTGTGACAACCTTTTGTTGTCTTCAATAAGTCATCAATAATTGCATGTTGCTTGTGTTTGTTACATGCCATCATACCAATGAAATGATCAGGTTTGTGACTTGTTGCACCTATTAATGTGTATCTAAATCATAAAGCGATGTTTTATTTGTGTTATTTTTATAAGATTTGACTAAAGTAATGCTCACTTTTTATCTTTTAAGTAAATGTCACGTGGAACATTAGCTGTTGTTATGGTTGCTTCAACATTTGCAATCAATAGCATTATTGGATCACTAACATTCGTAAATTTTGGTTCTGAAGATGCGCGCTGAGCAGCACAGACAACATAAATACTATGATACAAGTCTTGTGATTGTTATAGTTATAGCTCTTTAATAAAGTTTACCTTGATTCATCTTCATAGCCTTCAGTTGTATCGAGTATTTTTATCTTCTTCAAATGTCTCAATTCAGCATTCAGTGGTACAACAGTACTTGGTGACCATTTGGTAATTTCATTACCACATTTTTCTGTTAATTGTGTCTTATATTGAGCAATGATCGGATGTTGGATTGTACCATCGACCACGCTATATAGAAAAGAAATTCATTATCATAAATTGTTTTGAATTGCATATCACATAGTGGAGAACAGAATCCTTCAATCTGGAGGCCTACCGCTATTTGAAGTTTTCTTGGAGAAACGGAATAAATTTCATTGGTATTTATGCACTTCTGTTATCTGTAATATAGATATACTATTAAAGGACAAAGAAAGGACAAAAAGATGACTTCTTTTGTACAAAAGCCGATTAAATTAGTTGATCAAATTGTTTGTAAAGATGCTTCTTTCAAATAGTAATCTTATTTCATTTATACAATAATAAAATTGTGAATAAAGCTACATTGACTGTTTTAGGAATTAGAGAAAGTTTATATTATATTAAGGACAGANAGAATGTTGCAATATGATGCTTAAAGTAGTATTTAATGAAATCTTGATTTAATAAAGAAAACAGGGGAATGCAAATAATAAAGTTTGGAAAAATAAAAAGTAAATAATAAAATAATAAAGAATCCACAAGAATATAAAAATAATAAAGAATCTATAAGAATATGAAAATAATAAAGTATCAACAAGAATATGTTTCATTTTGAGAGAAGATAGAATGCTCGTGAAATACTGTGACAACCTTTTGTTGTCTTCAATAAGTCATCAATAATTGCATGTTGCTTGTGTTTGTTACATGCCATCATACAAATGAAATGATCAGGTTTGTGACTTGTTGCACCTATTAATGTGTATCTAAATCATAAAGCGATGTTTTATTTGTGTTATTTTTATAAGATTTGACTAAGGTAATGCTCACTTTTTATCTTTTAAGTAAATGTCACGTGAAACATTAGCTGTTGTTATGGTTGCTTCAACATTTGCAATCAATAACATTATTGGATCACTAACATTCGTAAATTTTGGTTCTGAAGATGCGCGCTGAGCAGCATAGACAACATAAATACTATGATACAAGTCTTGTGATTGTTATAGTTATAGCTCTTTAATAAAGTTTACCTTGATTCATCTTCGTAGCCTTCAGGTGTATCAAGTATTTTTATCTTCTTCAAATGTCTCAATTCAGCATTCAGTGGTACAACAGTACTTGGTGACCATTTGGTAATTTTATTACCACATTTTTCTGTTAATTGTGTCTTATATTGAGCAATGATCGGATGTTGGATTTTACCATCGACCACGCTAGATAGAAAAGAAATTCATTATCATAAATTGTTTTGAATTGCATATCACATAGTGGAGAACAGAATCATTCAATCTGGAGACCTACCGCTATTTGAAGTTTTCTTGAAGAAACGAAATAAATTTCATTGGTATTTATGTACTTCTGTTATCTGTAATAAGATATACTATTAAAGGACAAAGAAATGACAAAAAGATGACTTCTTTTGTACAAAAGCCGATCAAATTAGTTGATCAAATTTTTTGTAAAGATGCTTCTTTCAAATAGTAATCTTATTTCATTTATACAATAATAAAATTGTGAATAAAGCTACATTGACTGTTTTAGGAATTAGAGAAAGTTTATATTATATTAAGGACAGAAAAACCGAAGT